GATCTAGATTATTGAACAATTGTTGTTTCAAATCCTTGGCCTGTTTGATAGAAAGAGAAGAAATTTATTTATTTAATCATAAGCATTTCTTCAAAATTATACGGTTGTCTATTTGTTTTTTTAGTCACTTTTTTTTTAATTTTAAAGGGAAAATGTTTATTATTTTAAAGGACATAATTTTATATTATTTTAAATAAAATTATGTCATTTTAATATATATTTAATATTTTTAATATTTTCTTTCCTCCGTATAAATAAGGGCATAGAGACCTAAAATAAAAGTCATATAATTTAAAATGACAATTAATTGTTTTAAAAAAGTGACAATCAATTTTTCCAATTTTAAAATTGTGTAAATTTTATAAAAAGGTATATTCTGAAAATCACTAGCAATGGTAAAAGTGTTTTCTAATCACACTTTATGGTTTTTATGGAGATAAAAAATAAAATCAAATCTAAAAATATATCTATTATAAAACATGATACGCTAAATAACCTATTTTGTTCAAACTCACCATTTAGATATGGGAAAATTCCTGTACATACATTTTGTATTATAATTATGCACTAAATTAATCAGAATTCATTATAATATTTTAAATTTTGGATCCTTTCTTTAGTAATGGTTAAACAAAGGAATACTAGCATTTTTTTTGTTAACACATTATTGATATGGCCCTTGTAAAAGTTGTGTTTTAACTTTGAGTAATTTATTGTCTTTATTTTTTTTTGGATATATCAGCCAATTTTATTCAAAAAGACAGTTCTATATATCCTCGAAAAAGAAGACCTTGTTCCCAATTTTGTTGCCTTAAAAGCAAGAATCTAAATCGGTTTTTATAGAAATACAACGGGTAAATTGATGCAATTCATTAGTCACGTCGAAAAATCGTTTCATTTTTCGTAACGAGGGAAAACCTATCGCTTATTTCAAACCCAAGAAATTGCTGCGCTGAAAACATTTTAATATTGATATCCAATTACAAAGTTCATTGGTAACGAATTAGCATATATGAGCCATTTTTTTTATAACATGAAATTATATAAGCATAAGCAAAAATTGAAGTTAAAAACAAACACTATTAATCCATAAAAGGATGAAAATGTCTAATACAACATAATAGAAATGAATACTACCATGCAAATAATAATCTAAGCTCAGTCTATGACCTTAACAAAAGCAATAAAAAGAAGAAGAAGAGACTTTACAAAGAACAAAATGCACTATTCCTAACACACCCAAATTTAACATCATAAGAAGTACTCAAATTACATAGGAAGCAACACATGCAAAAAGCAAACTGAAGGAAGAGTATTTGAGACACCCCAATTGGCAAAACAGGATCATGGTACCCAGAAGACTTTGCATGCTGAGAAAGAGACTCATCTGGAACCATCACCCTCACAATCATCTTCTGTCATTATTAAGCATATCAATGGACAGAAAATGAGACCTGAAGTAATGGTGCAGTTTGAGTGTGAGTAAGTTTGACAGTCACTCTCCTCATGCAGAAACATTCACTTTAGTCTTTTCTAGTATGGTAAGCACAACAAATACAGCAGCTATTACATATTCTGTAGTGGAAAAGTAAACAAGCATTTTAATATGTCAAAGTTGGCTCAAAACTACTATATACTTCTTTCTCATTCATATAGTTTTTCTTTTTCTAAGTTTCAAAATCTTGTTTTTACATAAACCTTATATGTTGTGCGTAATGAACAAATATACGAGATTGATCACTAACAAAACATACGAAATCTAATTGTTTTCCCTTATTAATAAAATCCAATCATGGAAGCATCATTGAACGCATATTAGATTGTCATCAATTAAAATGAGTAAATCTTCAACAAATATATTTCGAAATGGAACACATGTGAGGAACACCAATGTTCACTCCAGTGGCGGACGCAAGAATTTTATTGAGAGGGGACGAAAAATAAAAATACATCTTCATAAATAAAAGTACTTCAAATACAATACAGATCTAATATGCAAAAAATTGAAAGAAATCTATTACAGAAATTAAGTTCACTTCACTTGACTCTTACTCTACGTGTTTTCATATTGTTAAATCTATCTACAATAAAAACAGATCCAGAAAATGTTTAAATAAATTATAGATTAATAAAAAAATTAAAAAAATGTATGTTGCAATGCATTGTACCTAAAAGATGCTTGGACAAGCTGTTGAATCCAGTAAAATTATTCAAATATAATCATCAAGATATATTGTAGAACAATACTCCAGCAAGCTAACTAACATTGAAAAGTAAACACTTCTAGATCTCTGAGTCCAAAAAATAAAAAAATACAGACTAAAAAAATACACTAACATATCAGTAAATGAAGTATTTGAAATATTATAAGTCCCCAATAAATATGTTGTTATGCTCTATTGTATTTCACCTTGAGTTTTGATTTTTTTTTTTTAATTTACTGGCCATGTTTTGAATTTTTTTTAATTTATTTGTCCAACACAATTTATTCTTTCAGTTTGAAAAGTAATCCTTAATGAAATATTAAAGCATTAAAAAATATTAACGCACCGAATGTCGGTATAAAAAAATGTTAATCAATGGAAGATAATGAGTCGAAACAAAACATTCAAAATATGGGAATGATATGAACGAATTTCGAAACAAAACAATCGAATAATAGCAGCTTTGTTAATTTCATATAAAAAAATAGAGATAGTGAGAGTGAGAAGATTTGTTAAAATTGATAAAGAGAGAGGGGTTTTTTCATGGGGATGCAGAGGGGGCCATTATTGAGTGTAGTGTGATATCTTAGGGTGTCATGGAGAATAATTTTATATTATACAATTTTTAAAACAAATAATTTAATAATATTACTAAAATTTTATTTTATATATATATATACATATATATAGAGGGAGATTCTTACTACCAAAATTTTTTACTATTAACTTACTACCTATCTAATCACCATTGAATCAAAGAGATAAAAAGTTTTTGAAAAAAGAAAAAATGTTGACTCAAATATGAGTGTAAGAAGATGAATTTATCTCTTATTAAATGAGAAAACAATTCCCCTTTATTTATAACTTAAACCAATTCTTGAATCAAATCAATTATTAAAAGGGTTTGGTGTTTGTCATTTTAAATTACATAAGTTATGTCATTTTAGGAGAGAGATAGACATAAAGAATAAAAATCATGTGGGAAGAAAGTGGGAGATTTTTTTTTAATTTAAATTTTAAATAAAAAAATATTTTTTTATGTCTATCTCTCTTTTGCAATTACATAACTTTGTGTCATTTAAATTGACAAACATTTTTTTCTTATTAAAATATATGATTCGGATTACAACAAATTGTGAAAGGCTTCATGTAGAAATGAATTTTTCTCTCATTTCCATTTAACTAATCATTCATAATTCACCATATCGTTTGTGAAAATAATATTCAAATATCAAATTCAACCTCTTTATAACCCTCCCGCAAAGTACAAGAAACTTTTGGAAAGATCAAAGGAAGAAAAAATTCTTACTGTGTAAAGAATTCTTCCAATAATTTTGTGGAATATAATCTTTTCAAGAAAGTACGTACAAAGAAAGGTAAAGTAATATAAGTTTGTTTCCCTGAAGCTCGGCCTTCGAGTTTCTGTTCTTATTGTTCCTCATCATAAGAAGAAAATTTGGAGAATTCTTCAATTATGTACTGACTCACTATCATATTTCTCTCTTTAAAATTTGAGTATTTGGTGTTTGTCATTTTAAATGATATAAGTTATGTCATTTTAAGAGAGATAGACACAGAAAATGAAAATCATAGAAGAGATAAAGTGGGTGGTTTTTTTTTAATTTAAAATTTAAATAAAAAATTTATTCTGTCTCTATCTCTCTTTTAAAATGATATCTCTCTTTTAAAATGACATAACTTTATGTCATTTAAAATGACAAATACTTGTTATCAAAAAAAAAAAAAATGACAAATACTTTTCCCAAAATTTAAATTAGTTTGAATTTTGCTTTATTTGTCCCCTCTCATGAAGCAAGCAAATTTTTGTATTACTAACAAGCAAATGTTTGTTAGTAAGAGGGAAAAATATATATATATAGAGAGAAGTGAAGTTATACTTATAACCTATTTTCGTTTACATCCTCTTACAACTATATCTTAAACGTTGATTTTCATCAATCTAACAATTATAAATTATTGGATCGATAATTAGTCAAAAAAATGAAGTATAATTTATTGCTAAATTTAAAATTATATATTTATTTTATTTTATTTTTGTAATGAAAATTATATATTTATTTGGCAACAACATTCTGCATTTCTTAATGGATCATGCTATGTGTACTTTTTGACTTAAAAGTATGTATAAAAGAAAAAAGTGAGTGCCGAAAAGGATCAACATCAAGGTTGTAAAGCGATTGCTTTTGCTTCATAAAAATATTCTCTAAGATAATGTTTGCAAGTGCTGAACATTAGTATACTACTATAGAACATGATGCAAAGAACATGCTAAACAACATCTGATTCTCAATGCGTTTTAATGAGAATGCACCCACCAATTCTAATCCTAATAATTTTTTTATTGGTGTTTTTTTGGGAGGGGGGATACATTTAAAAAAAAAAAAAAAAAAAACCTAAACAATTAGTCCCAAACGAGGGTACATTTAAAAACCAAAATCTACCTCGAACCTAAATTACAAGGACCACAACTCTCCATTAAACTCGTACTAACAAGAATAAGGGTGAGGAAAATTTTTATAAGCAGTCTTTCCTTTGCATATTTACTAGGTGATTATTTTCCGGATTCTCACAAAGAAGAGAGAGAGAGAGAGAGAATGTGTCCCATGCATTTTTCTGTGTAATTGAGAATTTATCAATCCCTAGTCCAGAAAGCTTTAGTAGCATATCTTAGATAAGGAATTTATACACACACACATAAGGAGAGAGCAAGAGAGAAAGAGGTGATAGCATCAGAGTGAAGAGTGAATCCCATTATAAAACCAAACTCTTCCTTTAATGCCAACATTTATCACATATGACATAAGCCATACTACACAACCAATAGACCAATTTGATAAAAGGGAAAAAAAATACCAGAAAGCCAAGCCGAACATGAATATAATTTGATTAAAACAAGAATCATCAGACCCTTATTCTGTCCAACCTGTCAACACTCTTCCTTGCTTTTTCAAGTTGATGATCAATGCTTTTTCGAGACTTCTCATGACAATCCACACTTCTCCGAGACCTATCCATAAGATCAAAGGATATTCTCAGTTTCTCAGCATTATTAGACAAATTCTTAAGTTTTTCAGGCCTGTCTGTGCTCTGCCTTGGTTTTTCTCTGTGATCAGTGCTCTTTCTGCTAACTTCAAAAACATCTGTACTCTTCCGCGGTTGCTCGAATTGATCTATGCTCCTTCTGAAACTGTATCTTTGTGATGGATACTTCTCAACTGTGGCTATAAACTTTTTCAGATGCCTTATATACTCTGGAAAGAGCTCCAAATCACAGTGGTTACCTCCTTTGAGCCATAGTGGTTCATACTTCTCTTTACACAGTTCCCATAGTTGTTTACCATGGGAACAATCTACAACTTCATCTGAAGTCCCCTACACAATAACATAAAGGATATTGCTGAGCAACTGAATTCTTAAGATTTTTACTACATTCTTCATTACGTTAATATTTGTGGATAAGGTATGTTGAGACTCATAAAATTTCATATACCCTCCTCAAGTGTAAGGCAGAAGATAAAAAGAAAAGAAAACTAAACTAATAGCTTGCAGGATTTATTATCTGTTGGGGTATGAACTTCAAATTATCTTACCACTATGTTTGATGGCACACTTCAATGTTTAAAACTGAAATTTATCCATTGATCTCAGCTTACTATTTTGGCTAAATAAAATGGTGTTGTTAATAAGAAAAGATGAAGAAGAATCTCATAGATTGAAGGTATTTCATTCACAATAGTAATAATAAAATGACTGCCAAACTAGTACTCACGAGAAATCATTTAAGATTATCTAAAAGGTATGTGTCATTGCATGCATAGCAAGCATAGACGAAAAATCATTCCAAGTCATATGGAAATAATGAGAAGAGGACATAATTTTTTAAATATTCCAAGTCTAGAACTATAAAAATATTTCAATTATGGGGAAACTACAATAAAGGTAAAGGATTTCTTAACAAGGGGCAAAGAACCAATGAATAAGACACCAGTTGTGAGTAATTCTAGAAAAAGGATACACTGTAAACAAAAACAAAATGTTTGAAGAATGTAACTAATTCTCAAGCTAAGGCTATATAGCTCAATAACAACAGATGATGCAGTTATATAGTGTGATAAATATCTTTAAAGAATACTTACATGAATTATGAGAACTGGACAATTAACTAGTGGAATTTTGTCAATATTCTGCATATCAACACAAAGCAGCACCTGATTAGATTAAGGAATTCATGTGCCTGTAAATCAGCAATATTTGATTAGAAATGTCAATAAATGATTTTAAATCAAAACAGCATGCTACCTTATATATGTCAAACCAGTAGCTACGCTTGACTGGATACATGACCCTTAAGCCTGAAAGTATGGGACTGTGCAGAACAACAGCTCTCAATTGAGGCAATTTAGCTGCAAGATCCAAGGTAGGACCACTACCAACAGATTGTCCATAAAGGATTATATCTTCCTGCTTGGTACCATAGCTTTCTTCTAGACACTTATACGCAGCCTCAATATCTGCATATGTATTCTGCTCACTTGGCTGCAGTTCAGGCAAACGAATGTTCATCAGCAGATGTTTTTAGCTCTATCACCTTCCACATCTATGCATGACACAACATGAACAAGCATTTCATATTCTTACAAACCTTCCCTGATGACTGGCCATACCCGGAGTAGTCATACCTGCACAAAATTATAGATAAGTCTGAGTAAAATTGCTGTTCTACACTTCATCTTTTGTGTGGAGCAAAAATGATAACATTCTTCACAATGCTTTACAGATAAAATACATACACTTCCAGATAGAGATTAAACAACTACACCAATTTCACCAAGTGATAATAGGTTCCCAAATGAATTGCTCTAAGTTCATGAACTTGAAATACAAACAGATGCACAGTAGTAAAGATGACAGCAATCACAAACATATCACACCGGGGCAGGCAGTTGGCAAAATATGCAAAGATCTCACACACTTGAAAGAACAAGAAAAAAGATCAACCAGTATTCCAAACCTTTGAATAAGCAACATTCAATCCTATATCCATGAAATCAAAAACAACTCAAGTCACCTCACAAAGAACTCCAAGTGATCACAAATTCCATAACTTCCAAATAAATCCTCCATTTTTCTTTTTCCTTTTTCCAAAAAAAACATATATCAAACTCAAATAAAACAACAACAAAAATAAAAAAGTAAACCAAAGCAACCCCATTTTGATTCCCACAAATTACAGAACACCCATTTCCCAATATTCCAAATTATCCACGATTCATACCTCTAAGCAAAAATAAAAATAAAAATAAAACCCCGAGAAAACCAACTGCCCATGATTTTTTTCCTCATAAAAAAGCTAAATTTGGAAAAACCAGAAACCAAAACTGACATAACAAGAAGAACAAAGCATCAAAATTAGAAAAACTTCAAAAACACACACACAGAGAGAGAGAGAGAGAGAGTACCCCATGAGATTAACACGCAAGTGAATGCTGAGCTCGATGAAGAGCTCATACATCTGGCCAAGATCAGCAGCATTACCGTGAGAATAGAGTATAGTGGAAGTTGCCATTGGGTTCCGAATGTACATGCCCACTATCTCCGTTCCTCGCCGCGTCGGAAGCTTCAGAATTTCCACGTTTTCGCGGTGAGGGAAGAGGCTTAGCACCAAAAGCCCCGTCAACTCGTCCCTCACCAGCTTGTACGATGCTGGGTTCGGTGGGAAAAACGCGAACTTCGCCGCCATTGATGAAGTTACTCCACCCATATCAACCTCTCTCTCTCTAGAAACTTTCTCTCTCTCTCTAGAATCTGTAATATGTTTCTTAATACTCTTGTGTGAATTCAGCAGTGAGTTTGTTCGTTGTTCAGATTGATGATGCATTGGTTATGTTATTTGCTTTCTCTTTCTCTCTCTCTCTCTTTTTTTTTTTTTTTTTTTTGAGTTAATTTCTCTCTTCTTTTTTTTTTTTTGGTAAACAATTTCTCTCTTCTTTCTTGTTCTGCAGGAACCCTTTTATTTATTATTATTATTATTATAAGTTTTACCGTTAGAAAAATTTAAATGCATACTCTTCGATTTTCATGCTGAAATGATTTCACTCATAATTTTTTCTACTATATGAATTTTATATATAATTTTTCTTAATATATGAGCCTCAGATAATTAGGTAGGTTCATTGGATCTCTCTTAAAAACGAAAAAAATTTCTGCCAAAGAGATAGCTTTTTCAAAAAGTGGGACCCACAAATTAAAAAAAAAATCATTATACTAAGTCATACTAATCAAATTGAGTGAGAATCACTTTACATCAGTAGAAGTTACACTCTCAATTTTGACCATTGATCTCACTTATATTTAATGGATTTAATTTTTTTAGTAATGTGAACCATTGGATACAAGTGGATCAATGATCAAGATTAAATGTAAAACTTCTAATTATCCTACCCCAATCATATTTAGTTTAAGTCTACGGCAGTTAAGAAAAAAATGTTTTTGTCTATTATTTATTAAATGGAAAAGGAAAGAAGACGGGGAGAGAGAGATTGATTATGTGAATAATTTTGGTTTAGTGTTAGATGCTTTCAGTGTAATGACTAGACAGTGTGTGTGTGTGACTGGAAAGTTGTTTTCCATGAAATTTATTAATTTTGCTAATAATTGTTTATTGATGTTTTATTTTTCATTTAATATTTTAATTCATGAAATTATGTACAAAGGTTAGTGTTGCATATTGAAAGAAATCAAATTAATTATATATTTAGAAGGAGGCTGCAGCTTACACAATGAGGATTTGAAATGTTTGATTTAGCCATGTGTGCAATTGTGATTGCATAAGATGTAACTGTAGTACTGTAGTACTACTCATTTTAGAAAGCTACTCTTAACCTTTTGGTTGGCTACATTCGATAAATGATGTCCTTTCTCTTTCACCAACCATAAAGTTCATTATGCAAATGGTATGCATTTATTTGATATAGAAACTTGAGCTTGTTTGAAATGTGTTTTGAAAAATAATTTTTTTATTTTTAGAATAAAAAAAAATTCATTTGATAAGTATGTTTTGTGAAAAAGAAAAAAATTTAAAATTGTAAAAAAAAAAAAAATTAATTAAATTTAAAGAGTATATCTGAATTATTTTTATTTAGTATCTTAAATTTTAATTTTCAAAATATAAAAATACATATTTTATTAATTATTGTACAAAATAATTTTAAGAAGAAAAAAAAAGTATAATCAAATACACCTTTGATTTGGGTTTTTAGCACTGTTGTAAAACCCGGTCCGATCCGACCGGGTCGACTCGGAACCCGATGAATCATTCATCAGACCGGTTCGGGTCAAGCATTAGACCAGTCATGCATCGACCTGGTCAAAACCCAGACAAAACCGGTCAAACCCGGAGACCCGGTCGGGTCATGCATTTTAAAAAAAAAAATTTGTTTCATCTTATAAAAAAAAATGTAAAACTCATTTTAAAAAAAATTTGTAATTTTATTTGCTAGTATACTTTTCTACAATGATCTCTTAGTTTTCAATACTTAAGCAATTTGTGAAATAATAAATTAGAGAATGTGACATGTCATTTTAATGTAGTTGAATTTGAAAAATATGAGTTCAATGTCACTGAGAGGTATGTTTATGGGAATTCTGAGTCGCAATTTAAATTGACATAGTAATAACATGCATTTTTATTTATTTATGTTTCATATTTTTTAGCTTATTTTGTGAACCTTGTTTAATTTATTTTAGATATGGAGAATATAATTGAATTTATATGTTCATATTTATATATATTTTTATATATTTATATATTTCTAGGTCAATTGGTCCGACCAGTGACCTAGTACTCCGACCAAATCGATGCTCGGATCGAATTTAACAACACTGGTTTTTAGTTCCCCAAATCTGGTATATGCTTTCACGTTATTAAATAAAGTTTGTTCAACAAAATGTCAGATTTATCGAACACCTACAATATTAGAGAAATTAGAAATAGGGATGATAATTTCCAATACAATCCGCGGTCACGTCACAAGAAATTCGTATTCAGGGTTACTCATTTTTAACTTCGTGTTTCAGTCTTATTTATATAATATTTACGAATGTAAATGGATCGCATGACTTGTTTTTTAAGTTTAACTACTCTGACTTATTTAATAAATAAAATAGATTCAAAGTTTAAAAAAAGTTTGTTTAACAAATAAGTCGAAGATTAATTTAATAAGATTTGACTTGAAAGTTCGTGAGCTGGCCTGATATATTATTACAATAAATAGTATATGTTTATATAACTTAATCATTAACCCTATTTTTGTAACCGTGTTTTTTTAATATTGTCTATTGACATTCTCTCATAGTCACAGTTTCACAAATAAACTCTGATTATTGGTCTCTCCTTTTCTTCCTCAGTTACTCATCTTTCCTCTCTCCGAGTGGGTTCTATTATTTATTTTTTTCTGTGGCAAAGGAATACAAAATTTGATGTATTTATAGTCTCAACATTTGGACGTATGCGAATTTGAAAAAAAAAAGTTATTTTATAATTATAAATTAATCAAGTCAAGCCTTTAATTTTTCATAAACAAGCCAAGTCAAACTTATAATTTAGCTCGTACCAAGTTAATGGATCAAGCCTAACTCAAAATATTTTTCATAGATTAGCTCGGCTCGGCTCAGCTCATACCCCTAATAGTATTCGTGTTAGTGTAAAATGACAAAAAAAATTCATGTTGTAAGCACAAATTTGAGTTGTTAATCTTCGTATGCATATGTCGTGTCAATACAATATTGGTAAAAGTATCATTTAGTATAAATGTTATTCATATCAACCAACATAATAAGTAATATATTTTGAGATTGATAAATTATTTATATCTATCGTGTAAACTCTCACATAATAAGTAACACACTTTGAGATTTATTCATGTCATATCATATTAACCTACAAAATAAACAGATCATGTTTATGTTGAAGATTCTTACTTGTTTTTTTAAATTTATATTAAATATATTTGTGCTCGTATTAAATTCGTGTCATGTGGTATCAATCCAAATTATTAAATAAAAACCAATACGAAAGAATAATTTTAAACACAGCAGACTTATTGAGATTTTTTTCCTTTAACAACTTTTTTTAGATAACTGACTGTAATTTATTCATAGTGTAAATTTTTTATAATATTAACAAATCAAAACTTAATGTAGTACCTATTTTATTTCTTGAATTGTGTTAACGCATGAGACTTAAAGATAAGGATGGCCACAAATAGATCAATCAATCCAATAATGATGTAGCAATAGTAATGGACAATCATACATAACAAACGGTGAAATATAAATGAAACATTCCTGTTTGTTTGTTCATGTTAAATGGAATATAGAGTGTGTCGATTCATTCATGTCCATTATTTATTTATTTTATCTGTTTTGGCGGCAACTTGGTGATTTAGCAAAAGCTTAATAGTAAATAAGGTAATTTTAACCCAAATCAAGAAAAACAGCTGGAATTATGGAACCGAGAACAACTTTAGTGTATCACATTCAAAATCACTTTCATCATAATCTCCCTCGAAGTGAGAGTGGAGACATCCAAAACAAACAAATCTCACTCTTGAATAAAAATCTTAAGAATATTTCTGAAAAAATAAAATAATTATTATATTTGGCTCAACACTCTTGCACTTCTCTCTCCCTCTCCCCATGGCCCACTCCTTTAAACTAGCAAATTATAGGAATAAAACCAAGGTTAAATCAGGATCCCTCTTACCTTTGACCATGCATAATGCAAAAAACAAATTATTGAATTAATATATAATCCAAATATTTTATCAAAATAATAAAACAAAATACATACAAGAATGTGCAAGTTTTAGTCACGCAATGCATAACTTGTATTATTTAAACTCTCACACGCATCTTATAGTACATGCCACGTGACAAACACTCATTCATTCATATTCAATTTGTGCGCACACCCCCACACTACATTTTTCTGATAAAATGTTTAATTTTTGCAATAATTAGATAAAATATTTTGAAAATTGCATTAATTCAGTCAAAAGACTACATAAAGCAAATAATGGTCATGCTGATCTCATGCAGGTATGTGCTTCCCATACATTATGAAGCACTCATGAGTTTATGTCCTCAACCAATTACATACTCAAGATGGTGATTGGTGAAGATCATTCAAATGGCAAGGTAGCAATTAGATTTAGAATGCTTACCATTACTATCTCAGCATGGGCTTCCAACACACAAGGTAAAGAAAGAAGCCACATATTAACTCAACACCATATTAGGTTTATGGTTAAAGTTGACAAAGAGACATGTTCTGTGTCTTTTTTAACTTGGCAAATTACTGAGGTAGTTGCAAATGGCATGTGCTTTCTTTGCTTAAAAGATGGCACAAACATAATCATAATTTGATAAAAAGGATTGCTACAAATCAATCTTGGGACCTCTCAATCTCAAATTCACGTGGAGCTGCCACCCCAATCAACTTTGATAGAAAATAATTAACTGCAAATCGTAATAGTAAGCTACATGCAAACACGTGAACATCATCAACATGGAAAACCAAAACTTACCATCTAATAAAAAGGGAAATCCCAATGCTTTTCATCTCAGGGATCCCAAGAAAAGCTTGGGAATAAGTTAGGTGCAGAAAATACAGTGTCAAGTTTGGTCAAAATCACTCATTGGTTTTCCAAATGGACAAATATAAAATGTTGGACAACCACTGTATAAATGTGGTGAATCACCACATCAATCACACTTTGTGGACCCAGAATAAGCTTGGAATCAAGCTCTTCAAGACAAGCACTTATTGGAAGAAAAGGACCATATAACAACTAATTCTAATCAGAGAATAACTACGATTGAAGCCGACGACAAAATCAAGGAATTTTTGCTTTGTTGTGGGTCCTGTAAATTAACCAAATGAAAGAGAAAGACTGGCTGTGCTGCACTTCCCTTAGACCTATCTTCTGATTGTTGTGATGGGATGATGAGACATGTCTGTCTAGTGTCCTCAGCATTTCTTTTGTATAATGCCTGTCATGACTTAAACTTTGCAGTTTGGTTTGGTTTGGTTTTTAAACTATATAATAGTTAATGCTATGGCTGAGTATTGGTACATTGAATAACTGCAGAAAAGAGGGAGTTTTCTCTGAGTGAGTCCTCTTCATATTAACTATAGCACTGTTTTAAAATTCTACCCCGCCTTTCGGGTTGACCCGGATCAACCCTGACTCCTCCCTTATGAGAGTTGAGATCACAAGTTGGACCCTATATGCATATCGACCCCTCCGACCCCCAAAACCCGGCCGGTTTCAATGACTCCCGGGTCAGAGGGGTCAAAGGAAGTCACTATATTTTTTTTTTTAATTCCATGAAACAACATTGTTTTATTAAAAAAATAAAAATAAAAATACTTGCAAACCTAAATTTAATAGTTCTCTTATCTCCCAGCGACTTAGACGTCTTCAGTCTTCACCTCGCTCGCTGCCATGAATCTTCTAGAAAAGGTAAAAATTTTACCCATTCAAATAAAATCCTTACGGTCATCGATGGAAAACAAAAATTCATTCTTACTTCCTATAAATTTTTCTCTGTCAGGGACCTACTCAAAAGAGACATAACCGGATCAGCGTAGTAACCCCATTAGAATATGAGTTTTGTACTTTAGTATCTTGATACTTTAATTAAGTTGTGTAATATTGACTTTTGATTGTAATTAGTAAATTATGTTAAGTATATTTTGAATCTTTGATGATTGGTGATTTGTTTTTTAATATTTTCATATAGGATATATTATTTATATTTTTTTAATATATAAAATCGGGTCAGCATAGTGACTCTGTGATCCCCCGGTTGAACCCGTGACCCCATGACTCCTGACCTCAGCCGGGTCGACGACCGGACCCAATTTTTAAACAGTGAACTATAGTACTATACTTTATTTTTTATATATATACAATGATAGCACTGACATCTAAATCTATTACCTCACACAAACTAACCAAACCCCTCACCATATTAACTTTTCATGATGCATCATGAAATTGCTCCTTAGTAGCATGCAAGTTTTACAAAAAAAGAAATAAGAAAAAAGGGGGCAGAAGAAGCGCGTGTAAATATATGATCATGCAGCAGCATTATGGCAAAACAATTGAGAAATACAAGACTTCAATGCCTCAACGAAAATTTTAACAGGAGGAGCAGCCAAATAATTATTTAGGAAAGAAGTAGCTGGTATGGTGCATATATTTTGTTAACTATATACTCCAGTCAGCAGTTCTCAATGTAGAAGAAATAATCATGCTGTTGACCAAATGTTATATACAAGAATCCCGGCCATTGCAAAGTCACTTGCTTTTGCTCCAGCCTCAGCTAGAAGATAAACGTTTTACTTTTGCTGAACAAAGAAAGATAAAATTTATATCAAATTATTAAACAGCTAGAAACTCAACATCTAAGTTGGGAAACAATAAGAAGAAAATTAAAATTTTGTAATTATTATTTTGTCCATCTAACATCTATCCTAAGGGATCAGTTTTCCTTACCATAAAACAAACTCCATGTAGATATCAGAATTTACTTTCCTGTACAACTATTTCATCATATGAATCAAAATGGTAACAATTTAAAAAACTAGCACATCAATCCTACCAGCTAAATTTTCAGCCCAAATATATAAAAAATGTGCTAGTACAAATACATCGACTTGAACATATGATAACTATAACTTGGAGTCTGCATTTACTCCAAAACAGTTGACACCTTTCACCCAATGCAGTCACATTTATAGCATCTGAAGCACAGCTAGCAGATACATTATATACTGATGGGTACCAATCCTCACACCAATCAAATAGAACACGAAACAGCCAAAAGCAAGAACACTCACCAGATTCTTATTCAGTGATGGCTACAGAATGCTAGCCTTAGGGAATTGAACAGTGAAACGAAACTGCAGAGTGCTACCACCCCCACCCCCACCCCAAAAAAAAAAAAAAAAAAAAAAAACCAACACCCCCTTCTCTTCTTCAAGCACCTCACAGCAATCCACACACTACCATTCACTAATTTCTTCCTTACCTCCTGCTCTACTCTACTATTCTTCCTTAACAGAATTCAGTTATTACCACTACTCCACATAGCATCTTTTCTACTAATATGACTTCCTGGAATTTGAATTATAGTTTAAAAACAACAGAAAAAACACCCCCAGAATTAAACCTCATTTTGAAATAGGCAGCTTGAATATATAAATTAGGGTGATAGGTCCTTAAAGTTTCTAAAACATGCAAATAGACCCTTATGTTCACTAATTAAGTTAAAATCAATGATTGTGACTTTGGATGTGTTAATTAAGGGAAAAGTGTAGGTCATTTTAAAGGATGTAAAGTTGTGTCATTTTAAGAGAGAAAGAAATAGATAAAGCAGGAGAGAGAGTTGACAAAAAAAGTAAAGGTGAGGGTTCCACCTCTTTGTGAGAGTGAAATGATATAAGTTGTGTCATTTAAAAGGATAAACACTTTTCCCGTTAATTAATATATATGATAGTCTCTAATTGTCTATATAATTTTTTTCTAAAAAAAGAGTCAATCCTTTTTATATACTTTTCATTTCCATAAAATAGAAAATAAATAATTTAAATTTTTTATTTTTTTAAAAAAATAATAGGAGAGATTATCATGTTTATTTAATTAATACATACAAGTTATGTGGTGAATGATATTTGTTTAACTTATGTACAGAAGGGTCTATTTACAAGTTTAAGAGCCTTTCATCCAAAATTGAAATTTCATGTTGAATATTTCAAAACAAGGTAAAGTTTAAGGAGTGTGTGAATATTTTTCCCTAAAACAATTCTTATCGTCACAGTTTCACAACAATAGCATAACAATACAGAAAAAACAATACAGAAAACCAGCATTAATAAATGGTTGCTAGGGAACCATTTGAAAACCTACTTTAGAATTTTGCAGTGTGTGAAATCTGAGTGAATGGCATTAACAGACATGAGCTTGCAAGCAGTAAAGCTGATTGCTGATTGTTGAACATTGACATGATAATTAACTAGTTAGCTATTGAAACAGATGATAGGTGATGACAGAAATCAAAATCTTCTAACAAAAAGAACATAGAGATAGACAAAAGCTAGGTATTTTGTGTAAGCATGACAAAAAATTAGGATTGAAGAAAATAGAAACATTAACAAAATGTTCCTTTCTTTATTGAGTCCATTTATAGTTTTACATAAGTTAAATTAGATTAGAATCAATCACTAATGCAATGTTTATTCCGCTGCCAGTATAAATATATTATGCTTTAGTTTCTTTCTTCCAATTTTTCAGATTTTAGATGCAGGGAAATTCTTGCATCCTCTGGGTTTCTTCAAAATGGAATTCTGTTAGGCCTGAGGGTTTCATGACAGAATAAATTGTTTAGCAAACTTCAATAGATTATTTTATGGATTCCGCTGTGCTCATGCTAGGAGTCCAAGTTTTCATATAATTAAGGTTACAAATGGTCAAAATATCAATGCAATTCTTTTAAATCAATGAAAAAACATATTATAGAGAATTTCCATACCCTAGAGCTCTGCCCCATTGTATTATGCAATTCCATTCTAGGTGTAGTATACATGGACCCTTGGGACAATCCCTAGGTCATTTATCCCTGCTCCTTCTAAACATAATTTTTTATATCTTTACCCTTGGGACGACCTATTTTAATTAAGAATAAAGTACCTTTTGGGTCCTCAACAAAAATTACGGGGTACATTTTAATCTCTTATAAAAAAAAGTCGACTTGTGGTCCCGCTGGAATTCAAAATAGATCCAGTTAGTCGAAATCGTAGTCCCTCTAAAATTCAAAGAAGACCCACGTTAGTCCCTTAAAAGGTCTAATATCGGTCTATTTTGAATTTCAGAGGGACACAAGTCGACTTTTTTTTGTAAGAGATTAACATGGGCTCTGAAATTTTCGTTGAGGACCCAAAAGGTACTTTACTCTTTAATTAATAGAGTAACTTGACAATGTTTAATCTGAACACCCAACAGTTCAAACTTCAAAGCCCAAAGCACTCTTATTTTAGATCTACATTTTCCTTTTCATGGTTTCAAACTTTCAGTAATAAATATTCAATCTACCTACACATGACTGACATTATATGATTGGCACTATCCTTAGAGAACTGCACTAAAATTTGAAAATGAAGGAAACAGTTTCCAATGGGATTTTCCACTAATGCTTCAACTTTCAAGCTTCAATTCAATTCAATTCTAACATGTACTAAAGACTGAAAAGGTGAAACAAGAGCGAAGTGCAAATATAAATTCTAAAGCATAAAAGTCATAAAATTCTAAAGACAAGAAAAGGGCTACTACTTTGAAGTAGTAAAGCTATTGTCAGTATATCACAATATCACATAAAGATCCTGTGAAACAGAGTTAAACTTTATTCTTTCTTTGACAGCCCCAAAAAATGCAGGTCACGAATTTGTTTAAATTTAGGGTTGGATGCAAAGGGGAATTATGGAAATGGATTAGGTAGGTTTATGGGATAAAGGGTTTGTTTGAGAGGAGTCCACCTCCATGGATTCCCCTCTGCAATGGATATAATCATAAAGCCACATTCATGCCTTTGCAAAATCAAAACAAAAATAAAAGGAACAAATCTCATCCATGTAAGAGAAGATTGTCTCTCCATTCATCATCAAAACTACGAAATATCAAACAAAGTGCAATAACAACATTGTAATTAACTTATTATAACCTCAAAATTCAACAAAAAAATCCATAATTTATCACAACAAAAATCCAAAACAATTGGACTCAGAGTAAGTGCATCTGTCAAGTGACCCTCCATAGAATTTTAAACACCCCTTCCCCCATTTTTTTTCTTTCACTGCAAACTAATTGAAAGAAAGACAAGATTACAGTTTCAGTAATCTAGAAAAAAAAATACAAAATAAGGAAAATTAATTCATCAAATTCATTCAATGCATTCCATTCTCATTGCCCCCATAAAACACCAACCATTGAACCCTCACCTAAGACTGTCTCCTCATGCGCTTCCTTAACTTCTGGTACTTATGCTTGTTCATCTTCTTCTTCCTCTTCTTCTTCACGCTATCAGCCCACACGGTTCGAGAATCTTCCAAACCAGGGTCCTCAACCTCAGGGAAGCAAAACCCACTTGCCAAAATGGGTTTTGAAGAAAACCCAAAAGGGAAACTGGGAAAGATCACGGTTGAACATGACGAAGATTCAAAAGGCAAGGGCTCCATAACTGGACTTGGTTCGGTGGTGGGTCGGTGACATTCTCGATGAAGAGAAACGATTGGGTTAGGTGCTTGCGAGGGGTTAAAGCCATTGATGAATCTTGTTGTGGGTGGTAGTGATTTTCTCAGCAGCTTCTGAAGCGCCGAAGCCATTGAAGAATCGAAGAAAAGTTCCAAGGTCAGGGTTTTGGGACAGTGTCACCAAACCAAACATAAGCAACAAGGATTGGTGTTTCTGTTCGTGTTTGGTTATTGGTATATAGTTGTTCTTTCCACTCCCTACACCAGGTTTAGTACTATCCCTGCTTCCAATTCGTTGTGGGAGCAAAATTTCACTATTATCCTTGCTACCAAGTTTGGAAAAAAAAAAATATTATTTTATGGGATAGTTATTCTTTCTTTTTTTAGTACATATGTGATATATTATTTTATTTTATTTTTTTATACATACCACTATCCAACATATTTAGATCAAAATTTTAACTAATGAGATTCTGATCTAACGGTGTTGGAGATTGATAGACAAAATAGACATGAATTAGATAGAATAATATATTCCTTATTTTATTATTAGAATTTTAAAAGGAGTACATTTTAACAATATAAATGTCAAGTGTATTGTTCAAGATTGGAAATTGATGTGATTATTTAAAAAAAAAATTAATATATTTTTTCATAATCTTGACTATATACAAATGATTTAATAGTTAAAATTAAGTAATTGTTTTGAATTAAAATATTGAAGATTTAATTTTTAAATAATTAATATTAAAATATTGATGGTTAAAGAATCCATTTACATTAGTTTTGTTTCTGCAAAGCGATTTTATAAAAATTAATTTGTTTGATATTAATAATAGTTCACTTTTCACTACGTCTTTAATAAGGTAATATTCGTTAAGACTTTGAAAAAAAAGGATCTAAGTAACGAAAAAGTAATATTATGACACAATTCCAAGTCATGACTAGCGCAGGGACTAATGTCGAATAATCTGACAAACCTATATAATACAAGGTTTTAGTTTTATCCTTTAACATAACACAACAAACTTTCCTACCCTCACAACATTTTGTGGGACCCACATTTTTTAAAACAAAAAAATAAATAAAAAATTATGACACGCAAAACGAATCTCTATAACATTACACAATCACTTTTCCTACAACATAACAATCATAAAACCCATAATACAATGATATTTTTGAGTAAATAAGAATTTAATAGGATGTATTTGGATTTAGCAAGTTTACAGTAAATCATGTTAACAGAAATAGTGGATCAACTCTAGATTAATAGTCTATAAGACTTCCATAGTTCCATACAAAGTGTATGATAACCAAATGTAAGCCTTGATCACATACACAATGCATCGGGTTCACCAACGATAATTAAAATAAAATCCCTTAATTAAATCAAATGAATGGAATCAAAAGTTAAATCCTTATACTTTACTTGCAACAATATACAACTATGATTTGGGTGAATTGTTTTGTAATGAAGCTTTGTAAGCCAATAATAAAAATTATAATAAATAGGACTTGACCAGATATAAAAATATATTTAAATCACCTAAAGCTTAGTGATTCTCAAATTATCGGTTTTATCAAAATCAATTTATTTATAGAGAAGAAATTCACATTTTACCAAAATTTAAAAAATATTTCAAGTGGGTGTATACTCACAAAAATACAATAGGTTCCCGTCTAAGAGGGTTCTTTCACCTGTGACAATTTTAAGCTCCTCACCTGTAAAATAGTTCGATCACCAGTGGCGGAGCCAGCTCATTCATTGAGCTAGGGCCAACAAAAATTTAAGTGAGACCTAACATTAAATTTTATCGAGAAACTTAACCACAATTTTTTGAATTTTTGCCTGGGCCAAGGTCCCACCCTTCTCCTAAGTGGCTCCACCACTGGCGATCACAATGTTAGACTTCCTACCTATAATTGCCTGATGCATTATTCGTGTGGACAATGTTTATATTTTTATTTCTTTATTATATAACTTGTTTTGAAACCTTATATGTTATTAATCTATAAGTTCTTTGTTACCAAAAAAAATAAAAAAAATCTAAAGGTTCTTATTATTTCTATAAGCTCTTGATTAATTGTAATGTTTTGATAACCTGAATATATTATGAAGATAATTAGGCTTGAAAGACTAATTGGTGATAAGATTAAGTTTAGTCTATGCATCGATCATGAATCTCAGATTGGGTCTAGACAAAATTGGTTTTAGGGGGATGACTTTTTTAGAACATTGTCGCTAACAATATTAGATATTGGTGCACCTTGATTTATTTATAAAATGGGAGCCTGATTGATTTATATTTATAGGTAGGAAGTCTAACATTGTGATCGCCAGTGGCAGAGCCACTTAGGAGAAGGGTGGGACCTTGGCCCAGGCAAAAATTCAAAAATTTGTCACGTTTTGAACATGGCTAAATAATTGTGGTTAAGTTTCTCGATAAAATTTAATGTTAGGTCTCACTTAAATTTTTGTTGGCCCTAGCTCAATGAATGAGCTGGCTCCGCCACTGGTGATCGCACTATTTTATCAGGCTCGCTAATGATAAGTAAAACAGACTCTGAATCAAATTGAATGAGTGAAATCAAAAGTTAACTCTTTGACTTTCATGCAAAAACATACAATCACCGTCAAAGTGATTTGCTATAATTATCAATGAGCAAATAATGAAAACTATAATAAGCGAGACTTGGCAAGACATAAAATCAATATTTAAGTCAAACTATAAACATGAGAGATTTTCAAATTGTTGTTTATAACAAATCATTTCAAAACTAACACTTTGATGAAAGTTTAGGGTTGAAGAGACTATTGTCCATGAATGATGCTTTCATTGGGAAGCTTGCTTGACTAATTTACACTTATCCTATGTAGCACCGATACGACACGTGACACGACACGACACGACACTCCGACACGTCAATCCTAGAAAATTATGAATTTCGACACGTTGGGACATGTTTTAATATTAAATAATATTTTTAATTTATATAGTGTATATTTCATTTAAGATTTAATAATTTAACAAAAAAATGAAACTAAATTAATAATACCCATCAACACATTATAAAGATGGAAGCTTTAATAAAAAATAAGAACTGAGATGAGAGAGATATAATATCATATAGAGAGATCAAATCATATTAGAGAGAGATCAGAGAGAAGGAGATACAACAAGAGCATAATAGGAATTGACAACAATGAATGATGCTGAGATGATATCTTATTTACTTAAAGAGAAAAAAGACAAAAAAAAAAATAAAATTGATATGATCAGGTGGAAGCTTTATTAATATATTTTGATTTTTTAAAAAAAAAAAAATTAAAAAAATTTAAAAAAAAATACGAAAATGTCATTTGACCGTGTCGGACACGGTCAAATTCGCGTGTCGGAATGGTCAACGTGTCGGAAAAAGTTGACCGCGTGTCCGACATCGTGTCGGAGCGTGTCGCCCGAACACGACTCTTCCTGCTTTTACAAGTGTCTGTGCTTCCTTGCACTTATCCCCACAGAGTTATGGGTCCAAGTTCTCTGTACCAAGTATAACACTCATGGAGATTAAACTAATATTTTCCAAGCTAAAAATGGAGACTCTAGACTATGGAAGCATATAGGTACAATATGGAAGAAGATTGAAGAACATCTTACCTGGGAAATTGGTAATGGTTGTAGCATTTAATTCTAGCATGATAAGTAGATGCATCAATTTGTTAAGCTTATTGATCATGTTTCAAGACCTATCCCTTAGGAAGAAGTGGGAAAAATGGTGGACTATATAGATAGTCATGGAAATTGGAAACTAGAAGCAACATCTGAATGGCTCCCTGAGAATATCATTCTTCTCATCAGAAGCCTACTCCCTCCTAACCATCATGATAGGCTAGACCACATTGGATGGAATACAGCCAACACTGTAGAGATATCAATCAAAGGGTTATATGGGGTGTTAAATGGTTTGGATTGTGACCAACATGAGAACTCGATTGTAAATGTTATTTTCCTAAATGTGGGCTCTATTTTTTTTGTTGGTCTTTTCTAATTGGTATTGGCCCAATGATATTGCTACTGATATATGCCATTTAACGTTTTTGAGGCCCATGAAATGTGGTTATCTGGTTTAGTTAGATAGTAAGCAACACAAAAAGAAAAAACACTGCAGTTTGGCATATATGATGCCTTAATATCTAATGACCTCTGGTGACTCATTGATGATGTCGCATAATTTTCTTGATACTCTGATAGCTCTCTTGTTTCTCTGTTACTCTCTCAAAAAGCTCTTGTCAGGCGGGTCTATGGGGAAGTCCGTGGCGAGACGTGGTGTCGGACTCACTTGATGTACTTGGAGTAACTTGGCTCATTGGTGGTGGTCCCCCGCCACAGGCTTTTCCCTGGACCCGCCTGACAACTCTCTTTAGGGTTTGTGAGAAAGAGATATTTTTGTCAAAAAATCTTGCTCTTAGAGTGGTTATTTCGATTGGCTATTTTGGAGAACCTTGTTCATCGCGACAAGGTGAACATTTTGATAGGTACAATTTCATGTTTGTTGCTCAAGGACAGGAGTGGCCAATCTTGTGAGGAAGATCGTTGAAGCTGCTGGTGGAGAGCTTGTAGATCATGTATAAGGAACTACATTTTTGGTGCTGGTTCACGAAGATTGATGATATCTACTCAACCTTGTGATCTGATTTCTTGTTTAGTGCTTACTGTTCTTGAATCTTGATGTTTGTTTTATCAAGTTTCTGTAGTTGATGATCTATTGATGTAATGGTTTCTCCATATGCCTTAATTTCTCTATCATTGTATCTGTATGCTATAACTCTGTACCTGTGATTCTTGATTTCTGAATAAAGTGTGATCTCATAGGGCGTTTAACCCTATATAGGCCCTAGGACGTAGGAAATTCATTAATAACCTATAAAATCCCTATGTATTCTTTTTGTTATTTATGTTTCTTTTTGCTCTTGGTTTGTTCTGGTCTTTATTGTTTGGGAAAAACATTCCCAGAATTTCAACATCGGCCTTGTGGAGTAATGTATGTAAGTGGAAGGGTTCCAGCAAATCAAAATATTTCTCTGGCGGGTCCTTCATGAACGACTCCCAACAAGGTGCAGGATGAACCATCTAAACCTAGGTCCAACTTGTTGGGTATGGCTCATACTTCACATGATGATGTTGGCCCTAATTGTCGGGGTCAGCAGAAAGGCAACTGGGGTCCCGCTG